AATGCAATTATTTGTTATTCCTATATATTGCAGTAAACTACATAGAAACATATAATATACATGTGAACAAATTCACAACCCTGGTGCTTTATTGCCTATATAATTCGCCGTATGACGTCGTTGGGTCTTCTACGCATTTAACACTAGAGTCTATTTCAACTAAACTGAAGGAAAATAAAGAAAGGCGTCGGGAATACACGGGAGTTGAAACTTCATTATTCTTTATGATGTACGTGATACAAATGGATCAACTACTGTTTATAGTTGCAATAATAAAAAAGTCATCGGACCTTATACATTTTCAAAAGATAAAAAAAAACAACAAATAATTCATAACATTATCTAAAAGTCCATTTTATTCCAGACAAATTTTTTTGATACTTCGAAGTTTTAGTGAACGGTATTTTATGATTGCTTGTAAAAGCTAATGGTATATTTTATTTTCTTATGAAAAATATGCAGTGGATTTTTCAAAAAACTCAAACTATGCCAATAATACCCATTACTACCTATATTATAAATATAAAATATACAATATTTATCTTAAGAATACAAAATTAACAAACCATTTTCCTCTGCAGCCAGTAATTATATCGACTATCTATACTATAATAGTAACTAATAATAATTAATATAGTAACTTGATTTACAAAACACATAACTTAAGCTTCAAATATAAATATTAAGCTCAAATCTAGGGTCTAATAGTGTTTTATTTTTAACCAATCAAAACATAATGACTGGAGTTAATATTTTAAAGTCTGAATTATACTATTTAATTGCTATAGGTCATCTGATTAATCTAAAATAAAAGAATACTATTTAACAAAATAAAATTGATTTTTTTTTAAAGAAAGACAATTTATAATTTGTACATAATAATTACAATAAGCAAATTTGATGTGTTTACATAAAATAAAATAGCATGAATAACGTGTTAAGGAAAACCCCCATTGGTAACAACCACTTTAAAATAGATAAATTAATTTAATTGCAATATCATTCCATTAACAAGGTGGTAATATCGGTGACTCGAAAAAATTTTAATGTGACAATGCAAAAATCCTTGAACTTTCTGACGAATGAAATTCGTGCGTTTCCCGAATTTTGTTGTAAGTTGTTTTATTATCCATTTTTACAAACTTCTGACATTTACTGAGAAAAAACTTTTTAGTTTCATGTTTTCTCAACGAATGGTTATTTAAATGGGATGTTTTCTTAGCTGTTATTGTAAAATAACGAGCTAATCTGAATGAAATTTATGTGAATAATATAAATGAAAATTTTAGTATGAAAAGAAATATAAGAATTAATTGTTATTTGAATATTTAACAAACAGTCAAAATGTCTAAATTCTTTGCATTCATTAGAAACAATCGAGGTTCAATGTTCAATGAGCTCCAAATACTAGTTTTAATACAAAGGAATAATTTGAAGCAATAGGTACTCTAAATTTACATTACTAAAAAAAAATACTAGTTAAATAAAAAATATAACAACAATAAATACTAAAAAATTAATACATTTTCGAATCTGAAGTAGTATGATAGATGTAGTATTTGCGGATTTACATCAGAATAAGTTAATGTAAAATGTGTACACAAATAAATATAATTTCTAAAAACCCACCATCTCGGTGAATAAATACATTTTATTTAATTACTATGAATCTAAATTAAAACTGTTGAGTTAATTATATATTTTAAAATAATTCCAAATTTATTATTAAACATTATAAGTAATCGTTTTGCGTTTGCCTACACTAAATTGAAACAATCATAAACTAAATATACGAGTAGTAGAATAAACATGAGGCTTATTAAAAATTAAAAACAACAAGTATATATTGTTTTCTTCAAAGCTTTCATAACAAAAATAAAATTTAAATCATACATCATCGAGTAAACAAAAGTTAATATTTTTAGCTTTTAATTGGTAGTTATTAATTTTTATGAAAATTATAGCAAATATAAATATTTTATAAATCTATACATACTAGTGTTTTATTCAATATAAGATTTATCGAATTATGTTGGAATTGTATTAAAACAAATTTTGGAAATAACTGTACATTATTAAAGCATCTCGTTATTAGTCATTATATGTTTTTTTAAGTTGATAATATCAGTTACGCTTTTGTATTAATTTCAAATATATAGTTAAGTTTGTATATTGTAATATATACTCACACATATTTTACTATACCTACTATAATTTTGATAAATAATAATTTATTCCAAGTGACATTATAAAACCCACTATGTAGGTACTATATACCTACCTACTTGGTAACCAAGATTCAAAAAGGTAGATTCGATTTTTTGAAAAAGGTTAAATAATTTTATTTTCACTGCACCGTACGTGGCGTAGAATAATAAAAGTTGCATTCAAAACCAGAAACCCAGCATTATATAGCAACAAAAAAATACTGTGCTGTTGGTTACAGATAAACTCAACTAATTTTACACCTCTTACACAAAAATGTTTTTTCCCGGCCGATGTACAATGCACACACACATTACACACAATACACATAATGCACTCACAAACGCACACACTATACACACGCACCCTCGACGGTACGTGCGTGAAATGCTCGGAAAACCTGGTCCAATTTTCTGATAACATTCTCACTGATGAAATTTATTGCACACACGTGGACACCAAGTGATAACGTTCAATTTCCGTGTGTATTTTTGTGATATATTGTGTTTTAGTGAACAAATTACTTGAAACCTTCTCATAGATGGTTAGGCAATATCATATATTATATGAAAATAATATATTATAATACGTCAATAGATTCTTAGAGGTACTTGTGTAATTAATTTAAAACCAATAAAAAGGCAAACAGAATTATTAGAAGATGATAATTAATAATTAATATATTGTCACTAAATAATTGCTCATTTCAGTGGAATAATACAAGAAAAAAATTCATATTTAAATTTATATTTGTTATAACATTATATATTATCGTATATAACACATAATATTAGAAATTCGTATACGAATAATATCATGTTCTGAGATCTGTGACCATGGTTTATGTAATAAAACTTCAATATTTATTTCACGAAGATGATTGTTGTTGACTCAAATACAATATACAAAACATGTAAATACTTTATACGACGAGATTGCCAATTGCTAAATAGACATTACACTGTAAATTGACTTTTCATTACCAACATGAATTGAGAATGAGTTATATTTTTGTTTTACATTATAAATCAAAACGAAGTTTATTCATTGTCACGATTTGTTAGGTCAGCACATTAAGATATACCTACCTATATTATCAATTGAAATAAATATATTATTATAGATATTTGTGATGGAAATCAAAATTATATTTAAACCCATTACTCATTCACTGATGGAAATGGGTAATTCGTGTTCATTATTGAGTTTAATAGGCTGTCATAACAGAATAGTGCAGCACCACAACACCGTTAAATCTGTAATCAGTTTTATTATCTTGCATCTTTGGATCTTACAAATTGCTTTACTGTACATATATATATACTACATTTTTTTCACGCACTCTATTCGGACGTTTTTTACGTCTTTCCAGCGATTTTTGCTTTCAATTTTTTTTCTACCTCTTGACATCGAACATACGTGACTGTTTTTAGAAAAATGCATGCGAGACTTATTGCAAATCCATAAACATTTTCCAACCAGAAAAACACCATGTTAGCTAAATAACTTACGGCCAAATAACAAAATGTTGCTAATAACTATTGAACCAGTCATAAAAGCGTATACCCCATCATTAATATGGTGACAACTTGAAATTTAATCCACACATAGTGAACATTTTATTTATCAATGGCTCATAGTATATCGCCACAGCATCTATAAAATTATTAGAATTACGACACGTGCGTTAAAATACTCTAACAAAAGTAAAAAATATAAATTTAAAAAAAAAGTTGAATATTAGAGTGGGAGTAAACATTAAAAGTATTTACAAATGTTTGTATACTAAGAATGATTAATTATTATTAGATATTATTAAATATTTTTATTATTATATTTTTTAATTTGTTGAAAACAAGTACTTATTTCATAATCAATAACGTATCAAATTTTATTTTAACCTTAATAATTACCTGACCGTACATGTTGTACTTGATTAAAAAACAGTGCACAATCTAAATTTTTAATAATATATTATAATAAACAGAAATAATTCGAAAAATTGAATAAATATTTTACTTACACATAGTATTTTTTAAATTCATGTTTTAAGCTTAAACAGTATATTTACAAAAACCACTTTCTATCTTGATGTTGTACAGATAGCTAATAATAGATCGAATAGCCAAAATTCTTTTTCATCACTTATATTTATTGGTTTAAACTCTCAAGATATACTTCAATTTTTTTTCAGTAATAAATGTAAGAATATAATTAAACAAAAATAAAATTATTAAAGCTTATGTTTTACTATTATCATTATTGTCACCGCATAAACGGTCGTTTTACATTTATCCCATCGTTACAGCTACCCTTCGTTTTTTACTATAGTTCATTACGAATTACGATAACGGTTTTTTCCTTGTACGCCTTTCTGTGTACTTATCGTTTAATTTATTAAACCGTTTTTCTTTACTACTATCTCCATTACTAGACAACGCCTTCATCCATCACCAGACTTAACAGTTTACATCCTAATTAAGATACGTCATACACACTTGGGAATTCAAGCACACGATTTTCTTTTTATTTAAGTATTGCATTATAAAGTAAACACAGTTTAATAATATTTAATGGTTAATCACGTATTAATTTTTAAAAATATAATTATAAGCTACTGTAATTTTACGCTAATATAATGAATTTAAAAAAAATTTTGACGATATTTTATTTTGTAACAATAATTGTCACGGTATACACACGATTCTGTTTATACCAGAGTACCTATAATGTATACCAGATATCTACCATTTATAAATAAATATAATTAAAAATTATAAAATAAATTAAATTACCTGATAAACCGTCAATTCTGTTTGAAATCTGTTCTTAATGAATCTGAAACAAACCAATTAAACGTCTGTATTGAAATAAATTGTTAACAGCAATATTATACCATAAATATGTGATTGCATGCCCCACTGTTTAGTAATAGACACTATTTTTATAGAGAATATGAATAAAGTTCCAAAATAGTATTTCTGATAAAAAAAATAACTAAAGAGTAAGTTCAGTTGATGTTTGTTACTTAATTATGTGAAAAAACTTATGAAAATATATTATTTTCAATAAACAAGTATTTATAAAAAAACTTTTTTTTTCAACAAGTAAAAACCCTATTATTTTACGATAATAAGTATTAATAATAATAATTACTGTAATAATAAATATTGTTAAGGTAATAGGATGAATGTTTTATAGTTCTGGTATTCTAGGAAGCAAATTTTATCAGTCGTGTATGCCTTGGAACTTGGATTCACATACGCCGATGTATTATACATTATGAGTATGAGATTAATAATGAGTAGAATACGATATTATTTACACCACTAGTATTACCTAACTCAATCGACGGTAGAAATGTACAGACTAGAACGGGCATCTTTAAGTATGTCATACATCCATAACGTACAAAAACGCATGTTGCTTTTCAAGAAAGTTAAAAGTTACGAAGAAGCTACCAGATGCAATTTGTTCTCACGGTAGGTACAACATACGAGGTTTTGAGAAAAAAGAAATAAGATAAAAATGTCGTGTGTCTGTGTGTGTGCCTGTGTGTGTGTGTGTGTGTGTCTGTGTCTGTATATCTGTGTAATTTATTTCTAATCATTTTTACTTTATTTTAAAATACAAATAATGTTATAATAAGTGCAGGTTTATTATTTTATCAATAAATCGTTCATTGACCACTATATATGTATATATATCTATATTATATATTGTTATATTTTTAAGATATTATGTACAGTACTCACTGGTAAGATGTATTTTACTAATCTTTTTAAGTTTTTAGTGGTGTATTTAATCTATTGTTATATTATATAATATTGCGAAAATAAAACAATATTGGTGGTCACGCTAATACTCAGAAACAAATTATAAATAATACTTTGGACAAATATTATGGATGCATACTCTAATGTTTATACACTGAATAAATTTAATTTGAAAGTAATTACCAAGTCATAACATTATACAAAACAATACATTTATTTTTACTTTTTAAAGTTTTCTTGGCATATATCATAAGCTTGGCATAAAGTATTAAATTTTGTTAACATTTTAATATATCAGATAACAATAACCTAAGCAATAAATAAATTCAACTTATTTTTTTTGTTTGTTATATTGTTAATTTACATTTTCGCTATTAATTTCTTAAAATTCAAATATAACATTAAAACTTATTAGGTATATTTTTGTGTATTCTCTCAATGATTGTAATTTAATCATGAATTTAATGAAATGTGATAGGTCATAATTCATAAATTACAATAGTTATTACAGTTATGGAGAAATATAAATTGGAAAAATATACCACAAGATCTACTGGTATGAAGCAATCCATCAATTTTTACACTATTTCGCAAATTGTTTATATTTGGCAACACAGATTTCGTAGCATATGATTTTTTTCCATTTTCTTTCATTAATATTCTCGTATAATGCTTTATTCTAGATGATGCTGAAAGGTACCTTTTATTTTTAAGTTTCCTCTTTCTACCTTAAAACTTAGTCCTGAGGGATCTTATTTGTCTTAACAACGAATTGCACCAACACGAATATTTCCCTAAGGAAAACAAAACACGATAGATTGTAAACGTCGCTTCAGGTGATTTCAATCACAATCGTCAAACTAGTACATGACAAGTATTATTTTCGTGTCTGTCTTTCTATGTCCTAGYGATAATATCAATGGGCAAGCTATCATTGGTTTTATTGTATAACTGTTGTTTTCTATTTTGCTCACTTTGATAAAAACAGTATAATATCTACACGCGGTAGTCAATAAAAATGACATAGGTCACATGATATGATAAATGATTCCTTTCATTAATATTTATGATTCTATATTTTATTTTTGAAATTGTAATTGTGTAATTGATATATGCTTTTCAAATTTCTATTAATTCCTTATACATTTTAGTCGAGTATTAAAGAAACAGAAGGTGAACATAAAAAAAAAAAATTAAAGAATCATAATAACAATAAAAGTGTTCTTATTAAAAACAATAAAATACTTAAATTTTAAATTGTATACTATCTCTATATTGAGAGGGTATATTTTATATTTTAAGTTATTTCAGAAAATGTATTTATTACACCTAAAGCATACAAAAATATATAACAAACAAAATAAATACTGTACTTTTGTCAAATATAAAATATTATCAAAAGTTATATTGAATAGTAAATCAAAGAATATTACTTTTAAGCTATACAAACTATATTCTAAACTTGTTTTTTCGAATTCAGTTTAAACTTATGGTTTATATTTTTATTTATTTATATATAATATTATATAAACATCGTAGATAATATATACCTAATATTATTGCATGATTACAAATATTACATTTGCCTTGTCATTTAAATTATAACGACAATTTTTATTTTTTAATCGCATAATATTCCATAATTTAAATTTTATAACATAATTTTTTTTATAACACTTCATCTTATTTATCAATATAAAAATTTTATTTGCTATAAAAATTATACCAATTATTGTAATTTAGTTATACTTAAAAACAATGCTTGTATTATATCAATAAACWAAAAAAGTTTATTTAAAGCTCGACATCTGATTTTAATAAGTATCATCATCTTATAGCTTAAAATTATTTAGGTACACTTTAGAGTTTGAACCTCATCATAATAGTATTGTTTTTAATAATATAACTAATGAGTAATGACTAATATATATTTATTAAATCTTATAAATGCTTTAAATGCTTATATATTTTAGAACATCATCAAAAAAGTGTGACAGACATTAATTTTCCTTCATTTCAGCACAAGCCAATAATATATTTTATGACTACGCATAAATTTAAAAAATCAAAGAAAACAAACAATATTTTCTTCCTTCTAACTAATTAATAATTTAAAAGTCTAAAAGAACCAACTTAAATTAAATTTTCAAGTTAACAATTATTTTAATTTAATGACCATAATGTTATAACGAAAATTGTTTAATCTAAACCTATAAAAAATGTATGTAACAAGTTTATTACCAGTAATGATGTAGATATAGTATTCAATATTATTCGTTTTTGAACTATAGTAAAATTCAATACCTATACATAAACAAAATTAATTTTGTTAAAAACATTAACGTGTTTTAAAGTTTATAATATACTATTTTGTAATTGTTTTTCAATAATTTTACCCTGACATTTTCTAAAACTAGAATTTTCAATTTTGCTGATATCAAAAATTAAACTATTTTTTATTTTTTTTAACCCAAATGTTGGTAACAGAAAAAAATCACACATTTTAAATTAAATAAAAATAAAAACAAAAAATTGTGTTTGTATGATAAATCACAAATCATATTTATAAGTTGAGTAACATTTTTTAGTTATTTCCTTGAATATAAAACTAAATGTTCAACTCATTATTTTCTTTAGTAGAGACGTCATATAACTTATTTTATTTATTTACTTTTAGTATAATTTTTTTATCTACGTAGAATTGTTGGAAATTTACTCAATTATAAAATTGTTCAAATATTCAATATCCATGTGACTTAAGTACCTAGTACAATATCGGAATTAAAAAAAAAAAAATTGTTTTCATTCCTTTAGGAATGTTTAAGTATTGTATATATATATATACATTTCAGCTAAAAATAATTATTTTATGTATTCGAAAATATTTAAAGCTCAATCCAGCCGGTTTCTAGGTTTTTGATTAATTTGATTCCATATCATATTTTAATACTAAAACTGACGATAAAATAAAGTTCATAAGCTGTTCAATTTTCATTTGATCTTAAGCTAGAGGGCTTTTTAATAATTGAATAAATTTGAAAGACTTTCTGAGGAGTGATGATATTTAAATGACAACATAACTAGTGTTTATTACAATTGTAAGGTAAAATTATTATTCATTCAACCATCGGGGATTTTGGTCACGTGAGTATGATACGACCAAATAATATCGGATAATATTCACTCTGTTCAGACGCCATGAACCTATTGTTAAAGACATCAGGGTTAGGGGAACAAAGTTTTATCATTCTGCCTTTGTCTATTGCAAGCAGAGAGAAATGCTTGAAATTACACCGACATTAGTTACAGGCGAAACCCCGTGGCTAAATACTATACCCGTAATTTAATGTTCTTCTTTAAAATACGTAATTTGGAATATTTAAAAGTTCAAGGAGTTAAATCGTTAATTATTTGTATTCAAGAAAAACGATTATACAAATGTTAAAATTAAAATAATTTATAAATTATCGTATAGGTTATTTAGTGAATAATATATATATTTTAGTTAACAGTACTTATAGGTAAGTTAAAAGTTTAAAACTTAATTATCATAGCCATCTTTTGTAAATACCTGAACTACGTACAACATTGTAATATTACCAAATACAAAATATTGAAATAGCAC